GCGAAGTTATTAACCTAGACCAGTATCGATTTTGTATTTCATCCATGAGATTGGCCATCCGACTTTGCTGCAAATTCAGCGTCAGCGGTTTCATATAGGAACTTTATTCGTTAAAGTTGCAATGTTTTTCACTTCGAAGTGATGAGTAGTCAGAGGTAGCACGACCCGTGGATAGGTTAGTAGGTCAACGACCCTATAGTGGGATACAGGTTCTCCTCTCTAGGGTTGTGCTCATGTCCGGGTCAGCTTTCCAACTGTTGTTTTCTGGAGGGGTTATGCTTGCGCTTAATTTCGATGTGGGAGGCGTGAGTGCAAACAAGGACAGCAGGGCATCTCTGTGCCTGCTCTTCATAGCAAGCCTCCCTGGACTGTTCCCATGCTGTGTTTTTGCTGTCATGTTGTAAAGTCCAGGAAAATCAATGCCTTTCAGTAAAAACAAAAACTGTTCAGGCAACACACTAGTCCATTAATTGAAAGCTGTGCACCGTTTTTCTTTTGGCCATGGTTTGGTGTTGTATGTGTAACTCCTGAAATTTCTCTTCCCCCCCATGCAGGTTTTCATAAGGACGCAGAAGAACATCCTGATTGAAGTGAACCCCAAAACCCGGATTCCACGGACTTTCGACCGGTTTTGTGGATTGATGGTGCAATTACTACACAAGCTCTCCGTGCATGCGTCTGAGGGCAATCACGAGAAGCTCCTGAAAGTGGTGAAAAATCCGGTGACTCGTTACTTCCCAGCTGGCAGTCTGAGAGTAGGAATGTCGTTCTCAGCCGAGAGGATCGTCGCTCCCAGGGACATTCCGGCGATGGCTGAGAAGAGTCCATCAGACGCCATAGTGGTTGTCATCGGCGCAATGGCCCACGGTTCGGTGGTGTCGACTGCGGGAGATTTTCTGGATGAAGTTGTCTCAATCAGTCGTTTTCCTCTGTCTGGCGCACAGGCTTGTGCTAGAATTTGCACAGCTTTCGAAGAGGCCTGGGAAGTAGAGAATGCTAACTCCGGCGCTGCCGCCTCCGCTCAAAGGTGATGTCTTTGAACTCGCGGCCTGTCTGCCTGCCCCTACTCCTGGCCTGTCTTCGCCCTTCGATTGTATTTACCAGAAATTATGTACATACCGACGCAGTTTTGTCAGAAAAAGCCATTGCTCTTCTAACTTGAGTGGTATCATGTGGGTGCTTCGTGTTCCGCGAGGATGCACACACGCCTTAAGGCCAGTTTCCCTGTGCCTCGAGCACGCTTTCACTTTGGGATCCCGGCTGGGTCAACGTGTGTTAAAGCAAAAGGGCTGATGTTGCGCGTTTTGCGTGCACGGCCCATCCACGTGATTGCGATGCGGTGCGCTGTGCTGCTGTTCGTGGAATAATGTCCATCTTTCGTTAGCTCTTCATGCTGCGGCGGGTAACTTCCCATACTCACTGCGTGCGGGCGTGCGGTTTATGCGAATTTGAAACTTTTACTTACGGTCGGACTAACACTAGTTTTGTAGAGGCTGTTTGCCAAGAGAGCCCCGCCCCCTTCGCCACGATAACTGGCGAATATTGGTTAGAGACCATGGTGACGGGAATGGGAGTCTAATGCTAGGAGGGATTAGTGGGTGCGCTGTGATATGGAGTTGGGCTGGTTC